TTGTTCACTGTGGTTTACTGTTAGATCTGGACTTAACATTTCACTGTGTTGTCTGTTAGATGGGTACTTTTAAAATTGTTTACTGGGTTGTACTGTTAGACTGGTACTTAACAGTTCACTGTGGGTTTTGCTGTTAGATCTGGACTTATTTTGTTCCTGTGGGTGCTGTTTGATGCTGGGGCTTATTTTGTTCACTGTGGGGGTGCTGTTAGATGTGGTACTTATTATTGTTCACTTTGGTTTTTGCTGTTAGATGCTGGTACTTAAAAATTTTCCTGTGGGGTTTTGCTGTTAGATGCTGGACTTTTTATTGTTCACTGTGGTTGTGCTTTAGATGCTGTACTTATGTTGTTTTCCCTTGGGGTTTTACTGTTAGATGCTGGTACTTATTATTGTTCACTGTGGTTGTACTGTTAGATGCTGGTACTTATTATTGTTCACTGTGGTTGTACTGTTAGATGCTGGTACTTAACATTGTTCACTGTGGTTGTACTGTTAGATGCTGGTACTTATTATTGTTCCCTTTTTTTTTACGTTAATGGGTACTTTTTATTGTTCACTGGGTTGTGCTGTTTTGATCTGATACTTTTTATTGTTCACTGTGGTTGTGCTGTTTGATGCGGGATTAACATTGTTTTACTGTGGTTGTCTTTAGATGCGGGACTTATTATTGTTCATGTGGTTGTGGGTTAGAGGGTACTTATGATTGTTTCCCTTTTGGTTTTCTGTTTTGTGCTGGTACTTAACATTGTTCACTGTGTTGTACTGTTAAAATGCTGTATTAACATTTTTCCTGTGGTTGTACTGTTAGATGCGGGACTTAACATTGTTTTACTGTTTTTGTGCGTTAGAGCGGTACTTAACATTGTTTACTGTGGTTGTACTGTTAGATGCGGTACTTAAAATTGTTTACTGTGGTTTTTACTTAGTGGGTACTTAAAATTGTTTACTGTGGTTTTACTGTTAAAGCTGGGAATTATTTTTGTTCACTGTGGTTTTGCTGTTAGATGTGGTACTTATTAGTTCACTGTGGGTTTTGCTTTAGATGGGTACTTATTATTGTTTCCCGTGGTTGACTGTTGATGTGGGACTTAAATTTTTCACTGTGGTTGTATGTTAGTGCTGGTACTTTAAAATTGTTCATTACACAACTTCAAACATACGCTGTAAAGCTGCTGCGACCTAACCCTCCCTGGAACACTATAAAGCTGCGCTGACCTAACGCACTTCCGGAAAACTGTAAGCTGCTGCTGACCTAACACACTCCCTGGAACCTATAATGCTGCTGCTGACCTAACACACTTCCGAAACACGTAAATGCTGCTGCTGACCCAAACACTTCCCGGAACACGTAAGCTGTGCTACCTAACACACTCCCTGGAACCATAAAGCTGCTGCTGACCTAACAACCCTTTCCCGAACACTCTAATGCTTGCTGACCTAACCACTCCCTGGAACCTTAATGCTGCGCTGACCTAACACACTTCCTGGAACACTCTAAGCTGCGCGACCCCTAACACACTTCCTGAAAGTAATGTGCTGCTGACCCAAAAACACCCCGGAAACTATAATCTGCTGCTGACCTAACACACTCCCGGAACACTATAATCTGCTGCTGACCTAAAACACTCCCTGGAAACATAATGCTGCTCTGCCTAAAACATCCCTAACATATAATGCTGCTGCTGACCTAAAAACCCTTTCCCGGAAAAACCCGTAATGCTGCTGCTGACCAACACACTTCCTGGGAAACTGTAAGCGCTGTTACCTAAAAACAATCCCTAACACTATAATGCGCTGATAAAATAGAACATGTGAACTCTTGGGGATCTTTATTGAGGGAACGTTTTCAAATGTCGGTTTTCTGAAACCCTCATCTACAAAACCTTAGACACTGCAACCTTGGGATCTTAATACTTAGGGAAATTTTTCGCTTGCCTAATTCTTGGGCCCCGACCTATTCCCATTGAACAAATGTACCCCACCTTTTGACTGCTGCCCTTCCGCCTAGGTTTTTTAAGCTTCTTCCCGCCATTGCCGTATTTTTCTCAAGATTTGGGCTGAACACATCGACTCAAGGTTTAGGGAGATTACCTCATTCTCCTCCGTTCTTCAATTTCTCCAGTTGGGCTGATGAAGCCACGTGTGGGGAAACGTTTTCCCCAAAAAAGATACCCCAAAAGTTGCAAATGTGTTAATTTATCACATGTCGGTTCTTAAAAATTCTCACAAAAATATAATACTGCGCTGACCTAACACACTTCCTGGAACACTGTAAAGCTTTTCTGACCCAACACACTCCCTGGGAAACGTAATGCTGCTGCTGACCTAACCACTTTCCTGAACACTGTAATGCTGTTGCTGACCCCACACACCCCGGAACAATTAATGCTGCGCTGACCTAACACACTTCTGGAAAAACTGAATGCTGCGGACCCTAACACACTCCTGGAACACTGTAAAAGCGCTGCTGACCTAACACCTTCCTGGGAAAACTATAATTCTGCTGCTCCCAAAAACCCCTTCCTGGGAAAACTAAATGCTGCTGTTGACCCAACACATTTGGAACACTGTAAAGCTGCTGCTGACCTAACACACTTTTCCCGGAACACTATAATGCTGCTGCTGCCTACCCCACCCCTGGAACCTATAAAATTTCTGCGCTGCGACCTAACACACTTCCGGAACACATAATGCTGCTCTGACCACAACTCCCTGGAAAACCCGTAATGTGCTGCGACCAACACACTTCCCGGAACACTATAAGCTGCTGCGACCAACACCTTCCTGGAACAATGTAATCTGCTGCTGACCTAAAACACTTCCTGGAACCTATAATGCTGCTCTGGGGCCTAACACATTCTGGAACATGTAATGCTGCGCTGCTGCTGACCAACACCTTCCCGGGAACACTGTAATGCTGCTGCTGACCTAACACACTCCCTGGAACACTATAATGCTGCTGCTGACCTAACACACTTCCTGGAACACTGTAATGCTGCTGCTGCTGCTGACCTAACACACTTCCTGGAACACTATAATGCTGCTGCTGACCTAACACACTTCCTGGAACACTATAATGCTGCTGCTGACCTAACACACTTCCTGGAACACTATAATGCTGCTGCTGACCTAACACACTCCCTGGAACACTATAACACAACACACAAACAGCATCACTTGCAACACATTCCTCCCTGATAATCCGTCTTCATCTGAACCTCTATAAGAACTCCATGAAAATAAAAGATTTAAAAAATATTGATTAATTTGCCATATGTATTTTAAAAGAATTTATCAATGACTTTAAACACAAAACAGAAAAACTGTGATACTATTGTTATTCTCCCGTAGGTTAGACGGCTGGGTTAGACAACTGGGTTTGACGGCTGGGTTTGACGGCTGGGTTAGACAGCTGGGTTAGACGACTGGGTTTGACGGCTGGGTTAGACAGCTGGGTTAGACGACTGGGTTTGACGGCTGGGTTTAACAGCTGGGTTAGACGACTGGGTTTGACGGCTGGGTTAGACAGTTGGGTTAGACGACTGGGTTTGACGGCTGGGTTAGACAGCTGGGTTAGACGACTGGGTTTGACGGCTGGGTTAGACAGCTGGGTTAGACGACTGGGTTTGATGGCTGGGTTTGACGGCTGGGTTTGACGGCTGGTTTTAGACAAGCAACCACAGTAATTCCTCTCCTAACCACTGTTAACATTCATGGGGAGCACTAAACACGCTGGGGCCATACAACGACCGGCTTATGAAATACCAGGTTTTTCTCCACAGTCCTGACCTCTGACATTCACCTCGACTCTTTCTTTAACCTGCTAGAACCAAGGGTTTTTTTTTTTCGTCCAAGTTCGGGTTGATTATCGATTCTCAATATGTCAAATGTATATCTGTCCATCAACAACTTCGCTTTTAAGGGGCAAATAAAAATTATGGGAAGAGTCGCGTTGCAGAGTAACTTTAGCAACACAACCAGACCAGCAGCTGCAATATATGCAATGATAAACTGCCAGACATATTTCTCACTTTAGATATATATGAGAGATGTATATCTCTCAGTGTATATATATATATACTGTGTATATAGACACTGAGAGAATACTTTACAGCCTGTTTTAGATATTAATATATTCGTGACTAGTGGTCAATAGGTTACATGCAACGTAATGATTCTAGTGTAGTAGATAGGCTTTAAACCCCGTTACCGGAACGTTACTCTTATAAGCTGGAAACACATGATCTCTCAGTCACATTCTTAAAGAAACATGACACTTAAAAACAGGTTTTAGTTTGAATTCGATACAAACATGCATTCTTAAGATATTTAAAAAATATAAGAGAAAGAACGTAAACAAGCAAACGAATGAAATAGGACATATCTTGAGACGTAATTCCTCTCCCTATCTTGCTTTACTTATACTCTCCCTGTTACCCTTTTTCTGTCTGCCTTATACTCTCCCTGTTACCCTTTTTCTGTCTGCCTTATACTCTCCCTGTTACCCATTTTCTGTCTCTCTTATACTCTCCCTGTTACCCTTTTTCTGTCTCCCTTATACTCTCCCTGTTACCCTTTTTTGTCTCCCTTATACTCTCCCTGTTACCCTTTTTTTTATCTCCCTTATACTCTCCCTGTTACCCTTTTTGTCTCCCTTATACTCTCTCTGTTACCCTTTTTCTATCTCCCTTATACTCTCCCTGTTACCCTTTTTCTGTCTCCCTTATACTCTCCCTGTTACCCTTTTTCTGTCTCCCTTATACTCTCCCTGTTACCCTTTTTCTATCTCCCTCTCGTTATATTCTCCCTGTTACCCTCTATATCCCTCTCATAATCTGTTACGCTCTATCTCCCTTTCATTATACTCTCCCTATTACCCTCTATCCCTCTCATACTCTCCCTCTATCCCTCTACCTACCTCCCTATTATACAGTACTCTCCGTTTCTCCATCCCCATATTCCCTCCCTCCTGTTATACTCTCCCTATCTCCCTCCAGGGTAGCACATGCAAGATGAACAGTTGTTGGCACCTGGCAACCCGCGGTCAATCAGTCCCACCTGGTCCACAGGTAAACAGAAAGCTGGGTCGCTTACACCTGCATTATTACGCTCTCCGTCTCTCCTCCCTACCTGACGCATATACGCATTAGCTTAACGCAGGGATAGCGTGTAAAGCTATCACTGGGAGCTTCTTAGCTGTGAGTACCTTAGCTTGAGTTACTAAATTCTTAAATGGACTGAAAAATCAAATTAAAAATCTCGCCAATGGTTATTTGGGGGAATGTTTCGCTCTGTACAGAGCGAAACGTTGCTTGAATATAAGCTGCTGCTTCGTAAATCAGCCTTTCCTTAACTACCTATCAGAGTTACGTCCCCTAACGACCTTGTTTGACGTTGTTTGATCTGTCCAAGACAAGTGAATTATTTGTGTATTGTTCCAGTCAGGGTATTGTGTCCTTTTTTTTCTTTGTCTTGTTTTGTCTGAGGGTGTACAGGTGTAAACACCTGTGTAGAGCTTTATAGAGTTATGTTTCACTGTGTAGAGCTTTATAGTTATGTTTCACTGTGTGGAGCTTTATAGAGTTATGTTTCACTGTGTAGAGCTTTATAGTTATGTTTCACTGTGTGGAGCTTTATAGAGTTATGTTTCACTGTGTAGAGCTTTATAGTTATGTTTCACTGTGTGGAGCTTTATAGAGTTATGTTTCACTGTGTAGAGCTTTATAGTTATGTTTCACTGTGTGGAGCTTTATAGAGTTATGTTTCACTGTGTAGAGCTTTATAGTTATGTTTCACTGTGTAGAGCTTTATAGTTGTTTCACTGTGTAGAGCTTTATAGAGTTATGTTTCACTGTGTAGAGCTTTATAGAGTTATGTTTCACTGTGTGGAGCTTTATAGAGTTATGTTTCACTGTGTAGAGCTTTATAGAGTTATGTTTCACTGTGTAGAGCTTTATAAAGTTATGTTTCACTGTGTAGAGCTTTATAGAGTTATGTTTCACTGTGTAGAGCTTTATAGAGTTATGTTTCACTGTGTAGAGCTTTATAGAGTTATGTTTCACTGTGTAGAGCTTTATAGAGTTATGTTTCACTGTGTGGAGCTTTATAGAGTTATGTTTCATTGTGTAGAGCTTTATAGAGTTATGTTTCACTGTGTAGAGCTTTATAGAGTTATGTTTCACTGTGTAGAGCTTTATAGAGTTATGTTTCACTGTGTAGAGCTTTATAGAGTTATGTTTCACTGTGTAGAGCTTTATAGAGTTATGTTTCACTGTGTAGAGCTTTATCGAGTTATGTTTCACTGTGTAGAGCTTTATAAAGTTATGTTTCACTGTGTAGAGCTTTATAAAGTTGTTTCACTCTGAACCACCACTAACCAGCCTTAACGACCCTCGAGAAGTAGATAGGCTTCAAATCCCCATTAACCAACCAGCCTTAACGACCCTCGAGAAGTAGATAGGCTTCAAATCCCCATTAACCAACCAGCCTTAACGACCCTCGAGTAGTAGATAGGCTTCAAATCCCCATTAACCAACCAGCCTTAACGACCCTCGAGTAGTAGATAGGCTTCAAATCCCCATTAACCAACCAGCCTTAACGACCCTCGAGTAGTAGATAGGCTTCAAATCCCCATTAACCAACCAGCCTTAACGACCCTCGAGAAGTAGATAGGCTTCAAATTCCCATTAACCACCCAGCCTTAACGACCCCTCGAGTAGTAGATAGGCTTCAAATCGCCATTAACCAACCAGCCTTAACGACCCTCGAGTAGTAGATAGGCTTCAAATCCTCATTAACCAACCAGCCTTAACGACCCTCGAGTAGTAGATAGGCTTCAAATCCCCATTAACCAACCAGCCTTAACGACCCTCGAGAAGTAGATAGGCTTCAAATTCCCATTAACCACCCAGCCTTAACGACCCCTCGAGTAGTAGATAGGCTTCAAATCCCCATTAACCAACCAGCCTTAACGACCCTTGAGAAGTAGATAGGCTTCAAATCGCCATTAACCAACCAGCCTTAACGACCCTCGAGAAGTAGATAGGCTTTAAATCGCCATTAACTAACCAGCCTTAACGACCCTCGAGAAGTAGATAGGCTTCAAATTCCCATTAACCACCCAGCCTTAACGACCCCTCGAGTAGTAGATAGGCTTCAAATCCCCATTAACCAACCAGCCTTAACGACCCTCGAGTAGTAGATAGGCTTCAAATCCCCATTAACCAACCAGCCTTAACGACCCTCGAGAAGTAGATAGGCTTCAAATTCCCATTAACCACCCAGCCTTAACGACCCCTCGAGTAGTAGATAGGCTTCAAATCGCCATTAACCAACCAGCCTTAACGACCCTCGAGAAGTAGATAGGCTTTAAATCGCCATTAACTAACCAGCCTTAACGACCCTTGAGAAGTAGATAGGCTTCAAATCCCCATTAACCACCCACCCTTAACGACCCTCGAGTAGTAGATAGGCTTCAAATCGCATTAACCAACCAGTCTTAACGACCCTCGAGAAGTAGATAGGCTTCATATCCCCATTAACCAACCAGCCTTAACGACCCTCGAGTAGTAGATAGGCTTCAAATCCCCATTAACCAACCAGCCTTAACGACCCTCGAGAAGTAGATAGGCTTCAAATCGCATTAACCAACCAGTCTTAACCCTCTAGTAGTAGATAGGCTTCAAATCCGTATTAACCAACCAACCTTAACGACCTTCGAGCAACAGATAGGCTTCAAATCCCTATTAACCAACCAGCCTTAACGACCCTCGAGAAGTAGATAGGCTTCAAATCCCCATTAACCAACCAGCCTTAACGACCCTCGAGAAGTAGATAGGCTTCAAATCCCCATTAACCAACCAGCCTTAACGACACTCGAGTAGTAGATAGGCTTCAAATCCCTATTAACCAACCAGTCATCCATCCCCAGCTGTTCACGTCCTTTGCTTCCTGTGTTCTTCAGTTCTCTACGATCACGGTCTCGGGGTTCAAGGTTCCACTTTGTTTCAGTTCGCTTTAATATTGTCCTCTGAATCGTTTCCTCTGCTCGTAGCTGGATTTAAATCCTGCTCGAGTATTAACTCGACCGACTCTGTAAGAGATACGTTAATATAGTTGTCAAATGTAGTTACTCCAGAGGTTTATTATTAAGTTAGATACACCAGCAGTGCTGATACACTATTCTGTGTGATAGTTACATTGTGGGAACACCAGCAGTGTGTTGCTATACTATTCTGTATAATAATTACATTGTGGGAACACCTGCAGTATGTTGCTACACTATTCTGTATAATAATTACATTGTGGGAACACCTGCAGTGTGTTGCTACACTATTCTGTATAATAATTACATTGTGGGAACACCTGCAGTGTGTTGCTACACTATTCTGTATAATAATTACATTGTGGGAACACCTGCAGTGTGTTGCTACACTATTCTGTATAATAATTACATTGTGGGAACACCTGCAGTGTGTTGCTACACTATTCTGTATAATAATTACATTGTGGGAACACCTGCAGTGTGTTGCTACACTATTCTGTATAATAATTACATTGTGGGAACACCTGCAGTGTGTTGCTACACTATTCTGTATAATAATTACATTGTGGGAACACCTGCAGTGTGTTGCTACACTATTACGCTGTCACAAGCAGACAACTTTTTTGTCACTGTTGTCATAACAGGTAATCCATGTATGGGAAGGTGCCCAGAAAATTCAGATACGAAGACCTTGGTCCTGAGCACTATTCAGATAATTTTCAATGTCTGTGTTATGTTCCTTGTAACTATTATCATGTTCCTGGCGAATGTTATCATGTCCCTGGTATCTATTTTGTAAGTAGGAATCTCAAGTTCTTGAAAAGCAGACTTGGAGTCACAGAAGATAGATTATTTTAGGTAAGATTCGTCAGGAAACGGACTAGTGGTTCCCTGACGCAGGTCTTAAGTCACATGATAACCCGCAGTTCGAGCTTTTGGTCATCTGACCGAGGCCTTCCGCTGGCTTACCGGTCTACCCCTCCTCTTGTATTTTTAATGTGTTGATAGTGAGTTTCAGTGCAGCTACCACTTTTAGCGTTGAACTGAGCCAGTTGTCCAGTATGATGTTACTAATCTTTATACACTTGCTACCTTTGTGTATTTTGCAGGCTGTTGGAGGTGGGTCTCTCAGCTGCCTTCCTTCTAGATGTATTGTTGTTTAAGACATGTTCCGGTGCCCTAGCATGCCCTACTTTTTCATTAGTGCTTATTAGAGGTTATCTAATCATATCTGTTGCGTGCTTTAATGCTACCGTCATCCCTTGGACAGCAGAAGCTGCTGTCATAGCATGGAGATGCTACCGTCATCCCTTGGACGGCAGAAGCTATCATAGCATGGAGATGCTACTGACATCCCTTGGACGGCAGAAGCTGCTATCATAGCATGGAGATGCTACCGTCATCCCTTGGACGGCAGAAGCTGCTGTCATAGCATGGAGATGCTACCGTCATCCCTTGGACGGCAGAAGCTGCTGTCATAGCATGGATATGTTACCGTCATCCCTTGGACGGCAGAAGCTGCTGTCATAGCATGGATATGTTACCGTCATCCCTTGGACGGCAGAAGCTGCTGTCATAGCATGGAGATGCTACCGTCATCCCTTGGACAGCAGAAGCTGCTGTCATAGCATGGATATGTTACCGTCATCCCTTGGACGGCAGAAGCTGCTGTCATAGCATGGAGATGCTACCGTCATCCCTTGGACGGCAGAAGCTGCTGTCATAGCATGGAGATGCTACCGTCATCCCTTGGACGGCAGAAGCTGCTGTCATAGCATGGAGATGCTACCGTCATCCCTTGGACAGCAGAAGCTGCTGTCATAGCATGGATATGTTACCGTCATCCCTTGGACGGCAGAAGCTGCTGTCATAGCATGGAGATGCTACTGACATCCCTTGGACGGCAGAAGCTGCTATCATAGCATGGAGATGCTACTGACATCCCTTGGACGGCAGAAGCTGCTATTATAGCATGGAAATGCTACTGACATCCCTTGGACAGCAGAAGCTGCTGTCATAGCATGGATATGTTACCGTCATCCCTTGGACGGCAGAAGCTATCATAGCATGGAGATGCTACTGACATCCCTTGGACAGCAGAAGCTGCTGTCATAGCATGGAGATGCTACCGTCATCCCTTGGACGGCAGAAGCTGCTGTCATAGCATGGAGATGCTACCGTCATCCCTTGGACGGCAGAAGCTGCTGTCATAGCATGGAGATGCTACCGTCATCCCTTGGACAGCAGAAGCTGCTGTCATAGCATGGAGATGCTACCGTCATCCCTTGGACGGCAGAAGCTGCTGTCATAGCATGGAGATGCTACCGTCATCCCTTGGACAGCAGAAGCTGCTGTCATAGCATGGAGATGCTACTGACATCCCTTGGACGGCAGAAGCTGCTGTTATAGCATGGAGATGCTACCGTCATCTCTAAGACAGCAAGAGCTGCTATCCCAGCATGTAGATGCCTTGTATTGTCTATTAACTTAAGTTTAACATCTTCATCATACACCCCACACCCATCCTGTGGGAGGTAGCCAAGCTGTGTACACAGCTGCAAATTTGGACATAACTGTCTTACTAGGCTGCAATTTTCCTGCCACACAGTCCTAGAAGTGGTTATATTTTTGCCTAGTATTTGATATTTTTGCTTATAATATTTGATCTTGACAGCTGCTGCTCTGTTTTCCTTCTCCGGAGCAGTTTTGATAAGCTTAGTCTGCCCAGTGACAAACGGAAGAAAGTTTTGATATCTCCTAAAAAATCTGTTATTGTTCCCTTCCAGTCCTAAGGTAAGTTAACCAAGGTTACTTCTTCCATGTTTAGGTTCTGTGGTATTACCCAGGAACCTTTAAACAAGGTGCTTGTATCTTCAGGTGTTGTTACCCAGGAACCTTTAAACAAGGTGCTTGTATCTTCAGGTGTTGTTACCCAGGACCTTTAAACAAGGTGCTTGTATCTTCAGGTGTTGTTACCCAGGACCTTTAAACAAGGTGCTTGTATCTTCAGGTGTTGTTACCCAGAACCTTTAAACAAGGTGTTTGTATCTTCAGGTGTTGTTACCCAGGAACCTTTAAACAAGGTGCTTGTATCTTCAGGTGTTGTTACCCAGGACCTTTAAACAAGGTGCTTGTATCTTCAGGTGTTGTTACCCAGAACCTTTAAACAAGGTGTTTGTATCTTCAGGTGTTGTTACCCAGAACCTTTAAACAAGGTGCTTGTATCTTCAGGTGTTGTTACC